CAGCAGAAGGGTAAATACATACATGCAGGGTTCCATATCTTGGGCAGACATAATGTGCACAGGTTCCCCTCTGCATATGTCCCCCCCCCTTAACACTAGAATGACAAGGCTGGGGGTGCAATTGTGGAGGCAGGGCCAACAGGCACTGGCTGTTTTTCTGCAGTTGTTAAGCATGGGGGGGCACACCCTTGACTTTTGATGTTCAAGCAAGTTGCTTAGTTCTTCAACAGCACATCCTTCCTTGCAAAAATAATAATAATGCAAGTTTCTACATGGAAATCTACACTAATGAAAACTGCATCAGTCCTAAAGCTGCAGAGTTTGAAAGGTCTGTGGTGTCTCCTGGGGTGTGCAGGCCTGTTATGCTGTGTTAATACTCCTGTCTCTCCCCCTCCCCCACCACGCCTTCTTAGTTTTTAATATATAATACTCCAAATAAAGCTTTCTTAGAGTTCTTGGTGCCTCTTGTGTGAAGCTTAACACTCTTCTGCCTTAGTGCTGTCAAATTCCCAGTTTTGAGGATTTTCTCCAACTCTATGTAGGCTTCTAAATGTCATGGACTGTGACTCAAAGCAAGAAAATGCACAGGTCTAGTGTAGTGGTGTGCGCTTTGTTTGCAAATTATACTCGCACATCACTGAGCAGTTCTAAATGTTCCTTGCAAAGAATCCTGAGATTCAATGGATATGTAGTCTGTATAAATAATAGCTGAGCTGTACAAATAAACCAGTGTACACTTTTTCATGCAAACACTTGTTCTGTGTATAGACAGCTTATGCCTATGTTCAGTGAAATGGGTGAACAAGCCTAAGGTTATCCCGTCTCCAGACTCCTCTCTGCTGTAGTCCAACTGTAGTAAGGGGGAGGGGCAATTACAATGACGAGCAGTTATTTTACTTATTTATTTAAATGTTTCTTAACTGCCTTTTCTGGAGTAATATACAAATAGGGTTGCCCGGTCAAGGGCCAAACCTGAGACATATGGTCAGTCCCTGGTGATGCCATGGAAGTAGGACTCAGTGATGTCATGGGAGGAGCCCCTGGTGACTTCACAGATGATGTCATTAGGCATGACACATTAAGCATTAACCATAGTCATGGACAGCATGTCATTCAAATGAAAAACTGGTCTAACAAATAAGCAAATATGTCACTGACTGAAAATTAATATATAAATGTTATCTAAAGCAGGTGTTCCCATGTTCCACTAAACTGAGAGGACCATTTCTTCCCACCTGCTTAGGGAACCTGGGCAAGAAAAACTTGTATCTAGCCAGAAGGGTTTAAAGGCCATAAGGCCAGGCACTTCTTGAGAAGACTGTTGTAGGAAGAGGGGAGCCTAGCATGGTGATTTTAGATGGAGATACTCGTAGTCAGGACGTCAAGGCACAGACTGATGTCCATGAAGTGATTTCTTATGCCCATTCCAAATTGGACTATGTTATTTTCCTGTGCCTTTGAGGCTGCCCCCACACCACCACAACAAAATGATCCACCTAGTCTCCACTCCAGGTAAATAATAAATACTTCCTGCAGTCCAGGTCCTCCAGTCTGCACTCCTCACCTCCTTGAACACTTTTGAAAAGAACAAAGGCTATCCAGGAGTTGCTGCGAGTGCTGGAGGCAGCCCCCTGTGCTGCTCTTCATGTGCTTTGCTTGCTTCTGCAGCCCGGCACCACACAGCAGATGTGCATGCAAACTCATAACCCTACCCTTCTCTTGAGCCCAACCCACAGAGTTGTAGAGGCAGAGGTTTATGAGGATAGGGGAGGAGGGGATAAAGGGGGGCAGACTACCTAGAGAATCTAGGTATAATTTGATGTCAGCTCCTGCTGGACTAATGCTTGCAAGCTATATGCACAGTCTCCTTAATAAATCAATAAAATTAAAGGCACGTTTGCCCACCTGGAGATTCAAATCCTCCTCCTGCCACCTGGAGAGAACCAGGCAAACCTGGAGAATTCAGGTCAACCCTGGAGGTCTGGCAACTTTATATAAAAGTCTGTGAATAAGCTATGAACCGTGAGCTCCCAATAGGCATCTGACTAGCTACTGTGAGAACAGGATACTGGCCTAAATGGGCCACTGGCCTGATCCAGAGGGATCTCCTTACGTTCTTGGCCTTAAACATCAACAAGCTTTTGAGCATAGCTCAGGAACTCTAAACTTGGAAAGTTGCTTCCCACAAATTCGAACTTTTGATTTAACAGCGTTTTGCATGTTACTGTGGTCACCGTAGATATATTGTGGGTAGAGAACTGATTACACAATGCATTGTTTTGTTATGATTCTCTTTTAAAACTATTTACTGAAAGTAAGCTTAGAAGCATTTCCATGTTCAAAGAACACAAAAAGGAAGCCGTCAAAAAATCTGCTTTAGTGGTTCACCCTGTAAGCAGAACATAATTCATCCTCTAAAAACCCATGATCTAATTATTTAGTAAAATAATACCCAAGTGAAACCATTGTTCATTTTCTACACATGGTCAGTATGGCAAACAAGTTGGTTTAATTTGCTTTATAATTATAAGTCTGTTATAGGAGGGCACAGCAGGGAATGGAGGCTGAAAAGAACTCTTACATTTGTGGTTTTATTAAGCCTGGTTTTCTCCAGGGAACTCTTAGCCTGTCGGATTAAAATTGCAGAGACCTTTTACTGTAGCAGTTCTGACAGTTATCCCCTTAGTAAAGTTTGCTGTTGTGATAATTACATTTTACCATCCACTCTGGTTTACTAAATGAATAGCTTCTCTATTACTTTTAACCTTGACCAGTTTTTCGTGTGCTAATTATTTGTGGCAATAATGAAAGTTTCACAAATGCATTTGGGCTGAGGTTTCTCCTCTCTTAATAGTGAGGCATTTTCCTTCCCCTTTAATCATTTATTTGGGTGAATGAGTTTCAAATGTAGTTTTTGTAATTTTTCCATATATATATATATTACATTTTTTGAAGACTTAGCTACAGCCATGTATTTAGGCACTGGGTGTTTTTTAAGGCACTTAAAAGAAGTAATAGCTCCTGACTTTAAAATCTGGTAATGAACAGTCTAAGATGTCAAGATCCTTAATGTCCATGCACTAACCTGTGGCAAGTTATTTATGGGAGATGATCAGTTTGTACATGATGTTCCCTTGGGTTTTCTAGTTGGTCCTAATGAAATTATACATGACTGCTAACATACAATAGATTGATTGCATTTGACACATTAAACTATTCAACAGAGGCCTTGAGAATTACAAATTCATCAGGCTTCCGAGAAGCAACTGGAACAAGAAGTAGCCATCAATTCATTATTTTTACACGTATTTACAAACCTGGAACAAGCCCAGGAAAAGTAGATTTTGTACAAAAAGGTGATCTCATGGGAAACTTAAGCTTCGCTTTGTTGGCATTAAGAGAACCAGGAGCAAAGCAGGACAGGGTATTATTAGGGTGACTAGATGTAGTTTACCCCAAAAGAAGAAATGTATTGAGGTGGGCAGGAGGAGGGAGGCAGAGCACAAATATCTTAATTTCCATATTCTAATTTATATGCATAAATGCATATTTTGTAATAAAATAGAAATATAATATAACACGCCATAGTGGAGAAGAGTGTGACCAGATGGCCTGTTTGCCTGCTCAGTTGGCTATGCATATGCTAACTCTGGCCTGCTGTGACAAGTTTGCCAGGCACATTGGGGATAAAACCACTTCCCCCTATGCCACCATTACCACAGAGCCAAGGTGATATGCCCAACTAAAATATTGTCTAATCTTGTGGGATCAGTTGCTGGCACCTGAGATTACATTATTTTGGCATTGATCTTGGTGTATCTGCTACTGATATGGTATTACTCTGCCTTTGTGCAGGGATAAGCATATTTGTTTCAGAGTAAATTCATAAAACTCAGTGGGACTTATTTCTAAGAAAACATCTCAAGCCTTATATCATGCCCTCCAAGTGTCTCAATTTTCCAAGCGTAATCCCGAATTATGAAAGCCATCCTGGCTGTGCAGAGCATCATAATATAAAACAGCAGTCCTTGTTAGAGTTGATTATACAACAACAAGGGCTGATTTGGGTAGGGGTATAGACTCATCTAAAATGAACTATAAGGACCCAAGTATCTTTAGAAGGGAACAATACTAGTGGTTATTGGGTTGTTTCTTTTCCACCTTTCATCTTTGCAAATGCATGGTGCTTATAGGGTCTTGCTGCAACACACTGAGTTGGGTCTCTCATGGTTAATATGGCAAAAGGCAGAGAGAGACAGAGACAGAAAACGTAATGTGAAAGTGTTTTAATCTGCCCCTAATGGAGTTCATGGTGATTTTCTTTCTATTTGCTCTAGTTGTTTTTTCCCTCCCTAATCACCTCCAGGCGGCTAAAATTGAGTCTACTAATTGTTTCTACTTTTTAAAAGTTTAGATTCACAGCTTGACATTGAAGTTCATACTCTTAGAGTTTAGATTCACTTTTTCAATTTAGGGAACATGGCCTAATTCAGGAATGTGTGCTGCAAAGTGATTGTATGTGTTCACCAAATGCAAGTTAAAGGTAATGTTTAAGCATAGCATATCAGCTAACATGGAGCTAACGTGTTAAGCCACAGAGATTCATCAGAAGTACTTGTGAAAGGGAGAAACCATCGGTTTTAGAGCATAGTAAAGACGCGGGTGGCGCTGTGGGTAAAAGCCTCAGTGCCTAGGGCTTGCCGATCGAAAAGTCGGCAGTTCGAATCCCCGCAACAGGGTGCGCTCCCGTTGCTTGGTCCCAGCGCCTGCCAACCTAGCAGTTTGAAAGCACCCCTGGGTGCAAGTAGATAAATAGGGACCGCTTACTGGCGGGAAGGTTAACAGCGTTTCCGTGTGCTGCACTGGCTCGCCAGATGCAGCTTTGTCACACTGGCCATGTGACCCTGGCCTTTTAAGTGAGATGGGCGCACAACCCCAGAGTCTGTCAAGACTGGCCCGTACGGGTAGGGGTACCTTTACCTTTTTAAAATATATACTTGTCACTCCCGTTAGCTGTGTGAGGTCCATACATCTTTCTCAATGTGGCACTTCTGCTCTTGAGATCTTGTATATTTCCTGTATTCAAAGCACAATATAGTCAAGAGATTGTCTGGAGAGAGTTCTAGAAAAAGCAACAAGATGATTATTGAGTTTTTCCTCAGTCTCCATTTCAGCTGTTAACAGGGCTTTCCTAACCCCATCTAGTGAGCAGTGAGGAATGGTGGTTGAACAACCACAACATCTGAAGCTATGTAATTTTTTAAAAAAATAATAATAATTAAATAGCTGCACTGTGTCCCGGCTGGCACAGCTGTGGAACCTGAAGGTTGGGCCCCTCTGAGAAGTGTGGGACTTTGGATCCAACAGACATGGCTAGAATCTATATAGAGGAACAAGTGTCCTGTGGATCCACATCCACTGATGCAGTTTCCTCACCCCAAATGTCTCAGTTTGGGGGTTTCTGCAGGCTAACACTGTGGGAAAACTACTGGCTGCAGCAAGGGGTCTCTGTAGTGCTGGATCATCCCTGCCCCCCAAAACACCCACCCACCCACACCCAAAGGGTTACCTCCAACATATCTTCATCCCCTCCAGAAACATAAATCAGGAGGTTAAGACTGCATTGCAATTCTATTGCCTAATACACCCCTGCACCCGCTCCCTCATTTCTTTTTGCTATTTGCAGGAGAAAAATTCATCCCACCGCCTGCCACACAAATTACCATAGAATTGTTAGCCACGGCAAGAAGGAAAATGATTGTGTTAAAAACTGTCTGTATTTTCTGCATTGTTTTAAGCAGGTATTGTCCGTGGAACAGAGCTATTTAAGTGCCTGTCTTTTTATTTGTCTGACAGTGTTGTTAAGACGACGCAGCTTATTCCAATATGTTTCCTTTTGTTTGTTCATTTGCTTTTTAAAAAACAAAACAAAACAAAAATCACCCTAAACAATCTTAAAATGGTTTTGCTGAAAACCTGAGCAACCCCACCTCCCTGAATTTTTCTTAAACATGATCTGTGGCTCCAGGATTCTTTGGTTAATCTAAACATGGGTGGAATAAAGGAAGGTACAATCACTTTTAAACCTCCACAGCAGGTAGGCAGTTTAGCAGAATGAATGCAGAAACACGTCATAGCAATTTCGCAGGCTGTTCCTTCTGCTGTTGGAGTCTAGACCAAAGACAGTAGGAAGCTAAATTCTTATAGCTGGAATGCAGTAGGAAAGCTGTCCTGTGAAATATTTGTATTCTTCTAACACTCTTCAGCAAAAGATTTCTAAGACATTTATTTGACTGTTGGTTTATTTGTTTTGGCTGTATTCACCTCTTTTCTATCTTATTTTGTAAGACAGGGCATTTTTGTTGTTGCCAGGTATCTGATGAACTCATACTCAAACTCATCTATGACATGACAGGAAACTCACCGCAGTTCTCAGATCTGTCAGGGTACTCTGTGCCCCCAAACAAAACACAGTGTGAGAGAGTTTTGATTCCAAACTTCTCTGGTTTTGGATTTTTGTAACTTCAAAGCAGCTGCACAGGGCTGCAAACTACATTACAGATCAACCACACAGCAAACCGAACACTCACCTTCATGAGGTATTCTTATGTCATCCTTCCAATTACAATCTCCACCTTATGTCTGCCCATAACTAGCTTACCAGAAGATGTTTGATACTCCTTCTCCTCTCATGCAAACTAAAACCACTTATTTTCATGAAAAAGACCATGGCTGCAGCAGTGGTGGAGAAAACCCTGCTCCTAAGCTTTCTTGACCATGTTACACATTGTTTTAGAGTTTACGTTTTGACCACATGCAAATTGCGATTTTCCAGGCTTCTAAGATATGTACTTGGAGAAACTCCCCACGCAAGTCTTCCAACTTGAGACCCAGTTTATGGGGGGAGATGAGAACAGTGATTGGATGGAATGAACAGGCTATTAGCCAAACCTCCCTTGCATGTTTACTTTACACTTGATGTGAATTCCTGAAGAGGGCTATTGCCACTTTTGGGAACAACCCATAAGAGATTGTGAAATAGCATAGCTATTAGACTGTGGTCTAGTGATTCAGCTGCTATTTGTTGTTTTAAATTATTTTCCTGTTTTGTTTTCTTCTTTTAATGCTTCTGGTATATAGATGTTCTTAATATATTCTTTTCTGACCTAGTTTCACCAGATGTAATATATTCTGTGATCTGATGTTTTATAGCTATCTTTTTATTAGCTGTCTTTGTTAGCTTGTTGATAGAAAGCTGGCATCAAAATGCATGTTATTAGCAGCACCAGTAGTAGTGGTAGTACTGAAACTTGTCATGGTTAATCATCTACACACACACACACACACACACACACACACACACGACTCCTGATGCTAATTTGAGGCTAAAGTATTTAAATTAACTATGAATAAAAGTAAGAGGTATTGGATAAATACAATATTGGATTGCACAATATATACTCCTTTTTTGAGAGACATAGCCAATACCAGATTGTTACAGGTTTAGATGGAAGGAAGGAAGTCTGTGCCAGCAAAATACACCTGTTTCACAACTATCTAGAAGAAATGACTGAGTAACCAAATGCTGTCTTTTCTCAGAGCCATATTACATAACATTATTCACTAACATATCTGAGAAATCCTATTTGTGAAATAATGATACACTTACTAGTAATGAATAGTTTGTGCAGACGGCCTCTGCATGCAAGTTAAGTAGTTTTCTGCATAGCAGTTCAGACTTTCATTTTTAGCTCTTGTGAAGGACATTTCCATATGTGTTTAGTGAGTTGTTGAACACAAATGGATTCTCCTGTAGAGACAGTCACCAGAGGAAGTGATTTAAAATGGTCTTCATCTGATAACCATTTCATCCTCTTGTCCAGGATTGGGAAACCTCCAGCTCATGGGCCAAATTATCTCCACCAGGCTGGCCAATTTGCCCTGTGTGATTATTTTTGGCAAGCCACTCCTATATGTCACTCACCTAAAATCATGACAGCAGGTGTAGGACAGGTAAGGCCAGAGCTGCCAAGAAATAAGTCACAACTGCTAAGGGACAATCAAGAGTGCAAGAGTACCTTTCCAATTGCCCCTTAGCAATAGGACTTGGTTTATGAAGTTTAAATTTGGTGCCAAATGCAAGTCAACTGGTTTGAGCAGGATCAGATCCACGCAGGAACTCTGATTGGAAGCTCTCAATTCTTGCTGAAAGCAACAGGACTTGCCTTTGGTGCTGAATTTAAACAGTGCTGAATGCAAACCCCACTGCCAAGGAACAATCAGGATCAACAGCTGAGAGTAGGTTCCTGATTTTAATATGTTTTAATTCAGCTCCAAATGGGGCTGAATTGGGGTTCAAATCCGATCAGGTGATTTGCTGATCAAAAGTGGCCTCCATAGAGGGTAGCTGCTTTTCTATCTGGCCTGCCAGGCATAAAATGCTTCCCCAGCTCTGCTCTATTCCTAGGAGAAATGAATTATTTTTAAGGATGACATGAGATTTCATCTGAGTCTGGCTCAGATTTGAACCTCAGGAATTTAGAAGAGCCAGCTCCCAACTGGACACTACCTTTCAACCCTACTTTGCTTTCCATTAATCAGGAGTCATCCATTTAAAATATTTTACTGCTCTTATGTTGAAAATGAGGATAACATTAAGAATTTTTCAAACGCTTTGAATTTTACCTATATATTCTATGAGAATTCTTTTTTATTGAAATAAGCTGTGCATTTCTTGATTTAATTACTAAAACTTACTTTCAGTTTGTACTCATTTTCTAAGGAGATCTTAAAAAGCAGCTCCTTCAAGAAGCCAGGCTTAAGGGAGTAGGAAAACCCTACTATCTAAAAATGCATTCTGCTGTGCTTCACCTGCTGTTTAAATTTCATAGAACACTGTACTCTGATATTAACCTTGAGCCTCAAACTGCAGTTGGTCTTCCTAAGGGTAGACACTTTCCTATTATGTCCTGAATCCATCTCACACAGTTCTTCAAAATGGGCTTCTGCTGTAGACTATTCATGTAGAAATTTATCCAGAAAAATACAAGAAGGTGGTTTCATTTCCTCTTCCATAGCTGATTCCTGAATCCATCTCACACAGTTCTTCAAAATGGGCTTCTGCTGTAGACTATTCATGTAGAAATTTATCCAGAAAAATACAAGAAGGTGGTTTCATTTCCTCTTCCATAGCTGATTCCTTATCAGGAATATAACCTCTATGTTGGCTTACTCTAAGGCATTTTATGTGGGGCTGCCCTTGAAAATGGTCAACTAATACAAACTCCAGCTGCCAGGATTCTGGCTGGTTTACCTGTATAAAGCCATTTTGTTGTTGTTGTTGTTGTTTAGTTGTTTAGTCGTGTCCGACTCTTCGTGACCCCATGGACCAGAGCACGCCAGGCACCTCTGTCCTCCACTACCTCCCGCAGTTTGGTCAAACTCATGCTGGTAACCTCGAAAACACTATCCAACCATCTCGTCCTCTGTCGCCCCCTTCTCCTTGTGACTTCCATCTTTCCCAGCATCAGTGTCTTCTCCAGGGAGTCTTCTCTTCTCATGAGGTGGCCAAAGTTTTACATTGCTTCTAAAGAAATTGCAGTGGCTTCCTGTTCACAACTGAACCAGTTCAAGGTGCTTGCCTTTAAAGCCCTAAGCTGTAGGCGTGTCTTCTCCTATACCAGCCCATGGGCGTAACCAGGATTTTTTTTTGGGGGGGCAAGCTTTTGTTAGGGGACAGAACCTCATAGTTGTATTGATTTCTATTGAATTAGGGGGGCAACTGCCCCCCGCTCCCCTGGTTATGCTCATGTACCAACCTGCCCTTAAATCAAGGTTGTCAGTAGATGGTGTTCTCTGTGTCTCACTTTTAAGAGAAATACCATATTTTTTGCCCCATAGGGCGCACCAGGCCCATAGGGCGCACCTAGTTTTTGGAGGGGAAATAAAGAAAAAAATTATTTCCCACCCAGGTGGGGGCTGGGGCGGGGGAAGCCCGAGCTTCCCCCGAGCCCAGCCCCCAGAACAGGCTGCTATCCGCAAGCCGTGGGAGAGCTGCGCGAAGTGTGCACCGACCCCTCTCACTCTCCAGGCTTCAGCGAAAGCCTGCATTCGCCCCATAGGATGCACACACATTTCCCCTTCATTTTTGGAGGGGGAAAGTGCATCCTATAGGGCGAAAAATACGGTACATTATGTATGTATATAAATGAGGCTCTGAGTGAAAGCTAAAAATGACAACGATGAATGTAGATAATCATAAAAATAACTCAACTAATAGGCAATGAGAAAATAAATTTATCAAGAAAAGGAGTTTATCTCTTATTGGAAAATAAAGTGTAAAATTTGGCAAATCCATCTTTTTTTGTTGGGGGAAGCTTAATGTTATAAAATTATCAATGTTTCATTTGAATAGTAATGTCATATTTTTCACTGATGTAATTATTTAAATATTAATATTCAACTTATCATTCTATTTTAGAAATATTGTTGTACTAAAATTTCCCCCCCCCTTTATATTATCTGTATGTAATCTTTAGACACACACATGTTTGCAGGATCACCTTAAATCACTGAGGATTAGTTCTGACCTCACATTTTGAATCCACTGGATAGCTTTTGCTCTATGAGAATCAATCAGGCAATTTACTCGATAAATCTACTGTAGCAGTATTAACTCATGAGCTAATATTTGAAGTTGCATGGATATCTTATTTTGACATAGTATTTTCACATTACATATACCCTATGGAAGCAAAATGTTACATCAGAGCTTGTTCTTAGTTTGATTTCACTGAGGTAAAAAGGTCTTTATATTATATAGGTTATACAATATATATATATATATATATATACTCTTAGCATTAGCAACTTTCATTTCACTGACTATACAGTAAAAAATAATAATAATTTTTATACCAGTCAAGCCTCCAGCATATGTCAGCAGTGGATCAAATATTAAAAGCAAATTTTAATAAGTGAGAATCAAAGAAGGATTTAAAAAGCTCAGGGGATTTAGAGATGAGAGTTCAGTTCAGGGAATTCCACAGCTCAGGGGCATAACAGGTGAATGCTCTGTTGCCCATGGATGAGAGACCTGACAAGGGGGTTGATGAATTTGAGATTTATTATTAGAAAGTAAGAACTGAGGGCATATATAAATGGAGACCAATTCTGATAGGTGTGAAAGGGAAGTTTCAGATAGGTAATGAAAAACTCAGAGCAAAATTTAAAAGTCAATGCGTTGACTGATAGGAAGCCAGTGTAAATCTGCCATGGCCAGAGTAATGTGATTGAATTTATTGCCATGAGTAAAGGCATGGGCTGCACCATGCTGAACAATGGGGTCATTTATGAATATTACTCTATAAAGTGCCTGCCGATCAGTGTAATCTGGAAGCAATAAAGATATGCATTAGGGGAGGGCAAGTAACATAAATAGTAGCAACGTTGCCTCCTTAACATCGGGGAAATCTGAAAACATGTCACCTGAAGTGACTGCTTTTGGGGGGAAAAGCTTTTAAGAAGTTAACAGTAAATGAATTTGGAAAGCAAAGCAGAATGCCGAGTTGAAAGTTTCCAAGCGTTTGTCAGATCTACACAGCTGCCACCAGATGGGAGAACAGAGGGGAGAGCAAACGGGTAGGAAGCAGATGAAAAAGGGGAGGGAGGATTTGGGGATTTCAGTTCAGCATCGAGGGCTCTTGTGTATCCGTTACAGATGATGCCTTATAGCTGTTTGCTGGGTCAGGTCTCTCCCCACCTCCTTTGCCATGTCTTTTTTTTTTTTCCTTCCACAGTCTCTTTAAAAGTTTGACAGCTCATAGATGGCAAAAAAAGATCAATTCCCAGTATGTCAAGATCCTAAGCTAAGTATGTGCTTACAGGACAAAAACTGAGCACAGCTGGGAACTAATCTGCATTTTTCTATCTGTGTGTGAGGAAAATATTAATGCAGGGCAAGAGTGACTTGGTGCTCACAATGATTCGTCTTAAACTTGTTATTGCGTAAACCACTTAGACATTTTTATTATACTGTTATGAGTTTGTGGGTGCCAGACCTTTTAACCCAGGGGTCAGCCAACTTTTTCCACTGTCCCTCGGACCTTGTGGGGGGCCGACCTATATTTTTTTTTGGGGGGGGGGGAAATCAGTGAATTCCTATGCCCCACAGATGCATTTTAAATTAAAGGACACATTCTATGCATGTAAAAACACACTGATTCCTGGACCGTCCGTGGGCCAGATTTAGAAGGCGATTGGGCTGGATCCGGCCCCCAGGCCTTAGTTTACCTACCCATATTTTAACCTTTAAATCAAGCAAGTGTTATAAGAAGCTAGCCTGGCTTATATTTTGATGAGGTAATTGTCTGGGGCAATGACCCATTAAGAGAACAAAATGAAAGGGGATGGACTATTGAGAGAACCAAGGTGCTGGGTTTGGTCCCTACTCTATCTCTCAAATAGTTAGCAAGACAAAGCAGGAGTTTGAGGAGAGAGTTTTGCTGTTGTGTGAGCTGAAAGCGGGTGCAAAAAGCTGCAGGCTGGAAGGGCAGAAAGAAAAGCCATGGCTGATTTCTGCTTGAATCCAAGGCAGTGGCTATGGGAGAAATGATACCCTCTTTGGGTGTTAAGGCTGTGAACCCCTCCATCATAGGCTCAGGTTGCATATATGTGTAAATAAACCATATATCCTAAAGACACCACAGTCTCATTTTCAAAAGGAACTCCGGGTAAGTGCCTGGAACCCTTGGAACCATATGGGTGGCGTGCAACAATATGAAATTGTACACACTTTTTATAAATACATACAAACAGGCCTAGGAATGTCTGTAAAATACAGCTGAAGTGGTTAATAAGGTACCCCTGCCCGTATGGGCCAGTCTTGACAGACTCTAGGGTTGTGCACCCATCTCACTCAAGAGGCCGGGGGCCAGCGCTGTCCGGAGACACTTCCGGGTCACTTGGACAGCGTGACAAAGCTGCATCTGGCGAACCAGTGCAGCACACGGAAATGCCGTTTACCTTCCTGCCAGTAAGCGGTCCCTATTTATCTACTTGCACCCGGGGGTGCTTTCAAACTGCTAGGTTGGCAGGCGCTGGGACTGAGCAATGGGAGCGCACCCCGCCACGGGGATTCGAACCACCGACCTTTCGATCGGCAAGCCCTAGGCGCTGAGGCTTTTACCCACAGCGCCACCCGCGTCATCTCTGAAAACACAAGAGGCCACTCTGAAATTAATTCTGAGATAGCACAGGAGATATGGCAAAGAATGTTTCACCATAATGTTGGAGGCGCTGTGGAGAAAAGGGATTTTTGCTTCATACGTGGTGGAGCTGCTGTTTTGCGTAAATGTTCTGGGAGGAGGTGTTCTCAGAGTTAACTTGCATTCCCAATTAGCCATTCCACCTGGGCCCAGCTGATAGCAGTCTTTTCAACTGGGAGTAATCAAGGGTTCAAACAAAAGGATTTGGTTGCAGTATTATTGCCCATGGCTCACTTAGAATTAACTAGTCATTGGGAAAGTAACTTAGCTTCCATAAAACTTCATGATAAACAAATATGGTAGTGATGAAGGATATTTATTAATATCCATCACTGTGTAGCCTTTAAGAAACAACAGCCCAGCGCACAGAGAAGTTCAGAAGGTAACATGGATGTCTGTGCTGCGCTCTTACGAACCAGAAGAGGGAAACCAGAAGAGCTGGCACCAGGAACATTAAAGAAAATAATGACAGAAGTTCTGTGGCCTTGATGTGACCCATGGGCTGCCTGTTGAAAACCATAAATGTAAGACGTTTCAATGAAGAAAACAAAATTTCATGTTACAATTCTGTATGAGTACAGATGGTAGCTTGCAGAATGCATTCTGAATTTTCCTTGACTCATTGAATGACTTTTATGACATGTGGCCTTTTTCCAATGACAAAATGTGACCCCCAAGATGCAATTTGCCTGATTAGGGACACCAAAACCTTGCATCAATGGAAAGTGACTGATCATGGTTTTATATTCTATAATGTTAGGCATTCCCCTGGAATTTTATCTGGTTTCCTGCATGCTTTGTTGTTTCTTTTATTCCCTGGACACATAGTATTTTGTTGCATCACTTGACTTCCTCTTGTCAAGAACCAGAATATTGTTTGCTGAATAATCCCTCTGCTAGTATGTTGACTTCCATGTCTCTAACTTAATGATAGTACTTGATGAGTGGATGATTTGCCCAGTGGTGTTCATTGTTCATGCAAGTGTGAGAACTACACTCATGTAGGCCTTGTGATCTGAGTCACTAAGGAGTCTGTGAAGAATTGTGCTTTAAGACCATATACCGTATTTTTCACCCTATAGGACGCACTTTCCCCCCTCCAAAAATGAGGGGGAAATGTGTGTGTGTCCTATGGGGTGAATGCAGGCTTTCGCTGAAGCTTGGAGAGCGAGAGGGGTCAGTGCTCAAGGACCCCTCTTGCTCTCCAGGCTTCAGGAAGCAATCAGCAAGCCTGGGGAGCCTGCGGGAGTTCCCGCAGGGCTCCCTAGGCTGCGGATAGCAGCCTGCTGCCCGGAGCGCGGGGTGCGCTGAAGCAGAGCACCCCGCGCCTTGGGCAGACATCGGGCAGCCCCACAAGCTCGGGGGACAGCGGGGAGGCGGAGTGCCGCCATCCCGCTGTTCCCCGACCTGGTTTGGATTCCCTGACCTGGTTTTTTGGGGGGGGGATAAAGGAAAGAATTTCCCCCTTTATTTCCCCCCCCAAAAAAAACTGGGTGCATCCTATGGGCCGGTGCGTCCTATGGGGCAAAAATACGGTATTTTCTACCTCCAATCAGCTGTTTGGGCTGTTTTCTTTTTCGCTTACAAGGGTTGAGATATGGAAGGGTACTGAGTATGTGGAGAACATTTCTAACTGTGGTATTTATCATCCATCCCTACACTTTAATGTATTTATGCCATTATGAGAAGACATATATTCAGTGGATTTGTGTGTATCATTCTCTGAATAGCTTGTTAGTTTGACTTCAGTACTTTTGTACAAACAAAGATCCTACAACATCAAGTGGACATGTCCAGGGCTCTTTTTCAGCCAGAACTCTCTGGAACTCAGTTCCGGCACCTCTCAGGTGGGCGCCATTTGCATTCTAAGAGAATGAGGGAGGTGTTCATTGTGAGTTCCGGCACCTCTTTTTATTAAAAACAAAACAATCAAGTTTTCACTTGATTCTACTGCTTATCCAGAATGATTTTGCAGAGTTACTGCCTAGCACTACTGAATCACTGCTGTCAGCAGGACTGTGAGTATAATTTGTAAGTATATAATTTCTTCTTGTACAATCCCCCCCCCTTTTTTTTTTGCATCTGCAAGGACTGCAGAAATCTCATTCGTTTGTGTAGCTTGTGGGAGTGGATTCCCTTTTGGGTAATTTTTATTACCTTGTGCACATCATTCATATTAATTAAGTCATCAGGGTACAAAGTGATGCAGCTGGGATATTTATTTAAGCTTCACTCTGGATGGCATTTTTGAAGGTGGTGATCATATGGGACATCTTCTTGGCCTGGTGTATGAATTAGTTGTCATATTCCAGATGTTAGTATAATTCTGTAATCAAGCAAAGGCTGGGCATGCCAATGAGGTGAGACACCAAGCTCACAAGAGGAAAAGGCAGCATGAATTCTTGGTTCTATAGCTGATATACTGGTTGCAGACTGTTGCTGCCATCTTGAGGAGAGTCTTTGCAGTATCAGGCTTCAAATGACTAGGTTGATTGATTATCTTAAGAGATATGGGGTTAGAGAAGGGATAGCATGGAACAGTAACAGTGACAGATAAACAAATGGGCAAACCCTCTCCAAATTTCACTTAGACTGATAAAATCTTCAGTAAGAGCTCCAACAAATCAGATTTCCAGAAAACAAAGATGGATGTGACTTCACAGGATAATAATGTGTTCAACAAATTTCACTTTTTCTTCTTCTTTGCAATTTCAGTTTTACTTGTTATATTCATTCACTAATCTGATTTGACCTTTGCTTCCATATAACTTGAATTGAATTTACATCTATATATCTAATATACCTATTCTCCATTATAATATACCTTAAGTAGAGGTACAGTGGTGCCCCGCAAGACGAAATTAATTCGTTCCGCAAGTTTTGCTGTCTAGCGAATTTTTCGTCTTGCGAATTATTATTTAGACAAAGGAAACAAAGTCGCGAGACGTTTTCGTCTTGCGAAGCAAGCCCATAGGGAAATTCGTCTTGCGAGGCAACTCGCAAACGGAAAAACCTTTCGTCTAGCGAGTTTTTTGTCTTGCGAGGCATTCGTCTTGCGAGGTACCACTGTAATACAAAGCATCTTATACTGTACTATTTAAAAAAGAAACAAACAAGGACTGCTACATATAGATCACATAAGCCGCCCCAGTTGCAGTCTGACTAGCACATATGAGATTGCCTGGATAGTATAGTTACCTATTAAATGTTTTCACTCACTTGACGCCATAGAATTGCATTTCAACTCCCTAGTTCTAAAAAAAACCCCACAGTTGAGTAATAGGTTGATATGAAAAATAAAACTAGAAACTAATAGTGATGGGATTTAGGGGAGGGCCATCTCATTGGGGAGAGCATCTTCTCTGCATGCAGAAAGTCCCAAATGCAACGTCCCGCATATGCAGGATGGACACTAGTCCAAAAACACTGAGGATTTCTGCCAGTTAGTGTACAATATTGAACTGTATGGAGCAATGCTATAAGGCAGCTTCCTAGGTTCCTGTTCCTTCCCTAGGTTGATATTTCTGCCCTTTGCCAATGTCACAAGAATGACCAAAGGTTTTGGGGCACTTCACTCCATATCCCATAAACTTTCCAGTAGGTGATCTTCAATGTCGGTCATATCAGAGTGTACTCTTTGGAAACAATGGTCAAGTTCATTGATTTCAGTGGATTTGCTCTGAGTGTGACAGAGCTGGAAATCACCCAAGGAAACCTAATTTGTTGTCAACATGATCTTATCTATTCCTTCCAAAAGAAGTCCATGCCTTGACTAACTCTAGAGAGGCACCAGCTCCAGACAGGGAATGCTTATAACTAAACTGGGTCTAAAGTGATCCTTCCCTCAATTATGTCTAAACTGCAAAGTCAACAAAGCACTCCTTTCCCTTAAAGGTGAAGGACCCCCAACATTTAAGTCCAGTCACGAACGACTCTGGGGTTGCTGCGCTCATCTCGCTTTACTGGCCGAGGGAGCCAACATTTGTCCGCAGACAGTTTTTCCAGGCCAGCATAACTAAGCTGCTTCTGGTGAAACCAGAGCAGCGCACGGAAACACCATTTACCTTCCCGCCGGAGCGGTACCTATTTATCTACTTGCATTTTGATGTGCTTTCAAACTGCTAGGTGCTGGGACCGAGCAACGGGAGCTCATCCCGTCGCAGGGATTCGAACCACCGACCTTCCGATCTACAAGCGCTAGGCTCCGTGGTTTAGACCACAGTGCCACCCACGCCCCACCCTTTCCCTTAGAATGCCTAAAAAAATTATAATGTGCAGAATGAAATCCAAGCTTCTAAAGCTCTGCTATATCATTTTTGTAAGGGACTTGTAAGATACACTACTGTATCTTATACCAGCTACTGATTACAAAGAGGGAGAAGGGGAGGGGCAAAGCAGTGGGGAACCTGGCATTGTGCAGGTGCAACCAATCCTGTGCTCCTGAAACTGCTTCTGCACAGTGCCAGGCTCCCCACTGCTTCCCTCTCTCCTTAACTGACAGCAACAAGCAGCACTGGGAAGCCAGGAGTCCAATGCCACCCTGCACACACTCCCTTGATAGTCATTCATAACTATTTAGGTAGGAGTTCCAAGGTATGTTTTTGATCAAATGGAATGCTGTTCAACCCAGACAAATTTTGTTTAAAAATGGATGCAAGCCAATATTCTCATGCATAGAAAGTTTGAAGATGAGTTATTCGTCCGCGCCCCCCCCCAAAAAGAATCTAGTGACCAAAAACTTCCATTAAAACAGGTAAATAATTAAGTAACATTTTAAATGTAGACTTTATCTCTCTCTTTTTTTGTGGGCAAAGTTTCAGTATGTATTCTGGACTTTAAATGTGGAAACAGTAATAAAAAACTGTGTTTGTATGTGTGGGTTGGGAACTAAGGACTCAGACTGGTAAAGAAAAAGCATTTTATATGCAATATAACACGGTGACTTTGACCAAACTGCGGGAGGCAGTGGAAGACAGAAGTGCCGGGCGTGCTCTGGTCCAGTGTTTCCCAACCTTTTTTGGGCAAAGGCACACTTGTTTGATGAAAAAAATCTCGAGGCACACCACCATTACAGCCCCGTGACGTCAGCGCGCAGCGTCACGCCGGGAGGGACGCATGAAAGTGTAACTTTCAATTTTTTTCCCTCCCCCTTGCCGGGGAACCTCCAAGCTTTGGGGGTGGGGGGGGAGGAGGCAGCAAAGCGAGGGACTGAGGGACTCCTCCAACGACAAGGGTTGGGGAAGAAGAGAAAGGGCTATTCCGCTCCAGTCACGGGAGGGGAATATGTACTGGCCCAACTGGTGTGCGGTCTTCGGAAAGCGGGGTGCGGGAAGGAAGCCTAGGCTCGGGGTCATAGAATCATAGAATCATAGAGTTGGAAGAGACCACAAGGGCCATCGAGTCCAACCCCCTGCCAAGCAGGAAACACCATCAGAGCACTCCTGACATATGGTTGTCAAGCCTCTGCTTAAAGACCTCCAAAGAAGGAGACTCCACCACACTCCTTGGCAGCAAATTCCACTGTCGAACAGCTCTTACTGTCAGGAAGTTCTTCCTAATGTTTAGGTGGAATCTTCTTTCTTGTAGTTTGGATCCATTGCTCCGTGTCCGCTTCTCTGGAGCAGCAGAAAACAACCTTTCTCCCTCCTCTATGTGACATCCTTTTATATATTTGAACATGGCTATCATATCACCCCTTAACCTCCTCTTCTCCAGGCTAAACATGCCCAGCTCCCTTAGCCGTTCCTCATAAGGCATCGTTTCCAGGCCTTTGATCATTTTGGTTGCCCTCCTCTGGACACGTTCCAGTTTGTCAGTGTCCTCCTTGAACTATGGTGCCCAGAACTGGACACAGTACTCCAGGTGAGGTCTGACCAGAGCAGAATACAGTGGCACTATTACTTCCCTTGATCTAGATGCTATACTCCTATTGATGCAGCCCAGAATTGCATTGGCTTTTTTAGCTGCCGCGTCACACTGTTGGCTCATGTCCACCGGGCGCAAGGTCCACCGACCTCGGCGGAGAAAGGCAACAACCGGAGCCGATGACCAGTGGCGTAGCGTGGGTTGTCAGCACCCGGGGCAAGGCAAATAATTTGTGCCCCCTAACCCGCGGATTTTAGCACTCGAGTGCGAGCGCGCCCCCCCCAAGATGTTGCGCCCGGCCCCCCTGCACCCCCACGCTACGCCACTGCTTCAGGTCCCCCAATAAAACATTTGAGGGGGCCAGTCCCCCAGTTGATGGGCATTGCCAATGTGATCAACTATGCAGGGCGGGGTTTACTTGCCTCCCCCCCCCCAATATCATACTGTATTCACATTGGCACCCCTGATGAACTCAGCGGGGCTTACTTCTGCCCCGCAAGCCTTTGCACCTACGTGTCTCCTTTCCTCTCTATATGTAAGAGGGTGAAGGTCAGGCTGGCAGTGCAAATAAGGGCCCCGCTGCTGAAGGCCTCGCCCGCCGCGACCTCCTGGTCCACGGGCAGGGCAAGAAAGTGCCTTTTCCTTGGGGGGGGGAGTCTTAAATTTCAAACCATTATTATTATTATGAATATCTAATGTGCGTGGTTTCTCTACCTCCACCGACGACTCGCCACGTGCGAGGAGGAAGGCGGGCTCCCTTCACCTCCCCGTCCCCTCAAGGGAAAGGGAAAACGACGTGAGGAAAAGCGACGCGGGACAGCGAGCGAGGTTCTCCTCAGAGCCTTTTCCCGCCGCCCCCTCGCAAGACAGCCCTGAAGCCGAGCGCAGAGTGAGGGGCGGGGCCCGGCAGAGTCTCGCTGCCCCCCAACGCCTCTCGAGGCGGCATGAGGGGCGCTGCGTCAAGGGTGCCGGCGGGCGCAGCGGCAGCTCCTGTCAGGGCACGAGGCGGGCCCGGCGCCTCTCCCCCACCCACCCCGTCCGCCCACCCATATCCCGCTCAGGAGGGGCCGGTGGGCTGGCAAGCGCCTCACAGCAGCAGCACCAGAGAGGGAGAGAAGTCCGCCTCCCGCTGCCGCCGCCTCTTCATCCCCAGCAGCAACTTCCCTGCCTGGCTCCCCGCCGCCGCCGCCGCCTCCTTCTCTCCCTGGTTTGCAGTAGCAGCCGCCGCCGCCGCGGCACACCAGGCAACATCTCGCGGAACACTAGTGTGCCGCGGAACACCGGTTGGGAAACACTGCTCTGGTCCATGGGGTCACGAAGAGTCGGACACGACTAAATGACTAAAGAACAACAACACGGTGACACCTGATGGCATTGGGGAGTTCCATTTTTGCCCACACGATTTCTCATTATAAAGGTTACAATGCATTTTTCTGAAATGCTTCTTTGATGTGTCTAGATCCAGCCTAAAATTACATATATTGTTTCTGAATTAAGAAGGGAGGGCAGTTGTGTAAAATTTATAACATTTTCAAAATATTCACTATGCATCTCTGCAAATGATGAGACTATTGAGCAAAGTACCTGATGGGCTTTCCATTTTACTCATCAGGGATTTCTTATGCCCCACCTTATTTCCTGCCACCTCTTCAAACTTGAGGTTCTAGCTTTCCAAAGACTCCTTAGTGTTCTTAAAGGCTCATTATTCTCACCTTTATCTGCTAATAAGCAATTGGTGTTGGTTATATTATGGGTCTACTTATAAGGAAAAATGCAGCTGCCTCAGTGCCTCTGTCTGATTCTGAGGCCATCAAAGTTCAATTCCAATTACTGCTCTGTGATTTTGGTATGAGCCCTCTCTTTAAATAAGCCTTAGTTTTCTCAAGGCATAAACCTTTCCACATTGATTATAAGGCTTCTGTTACAATAAATTTCAAACATATCATATCCATGAGAATAGTGGAAAAGTTATTCAAAAGCCTATGGTTTGAAGAATAAAAACAGCAAATTCATCCTTTCAAATGTCGTTTTAACTTGACTTCATTATATGCTAGTATGGGCATGTGATATGGAAAGTTCCAAAGGTTTGATTGCAGCAGCAAGCTGATTTTTTTAAGGTTTACACGATCTATTCTTAAAAACAGTCATGACAACAAATAATAATCACAATAATAAAGACTGAATATATATAAAATATATTCCACATATAAAATATATTCCACAATGGAATACAAGGCTCATATATGTACTAAACATACCAAATATTCATGAATGTTGTGAAATAAACTCAAATTTAATGGGAATGTGTCGACCATGAGATTGTTTGGTCATATAAATCATAAACTGCACCCAAGCAGAAGCAATGTCAGACGATGATATTTTATGAATCATTTTTTTTAGAAACAGTATGAACATGACTTTTTTAAACCATAGATCCATAGAATAACAATACGTATCCTTCCACCCTTGAGAGATCTCTAGACAAGCGGCAACCAATAGATATAGAATTAATTGTTGAGAAGTAAAGTCAGCAATAGTATCATCAAAAATGGATGAGACATAGCTTAGTGTCCAAAGTGACCTGTTTGCCAGCAATAAAACCAATCTCTATTACAACCTGATTCCAAAACTTATGTAATCACATCCCCACCACATACGCCAATATGTTCCTCATACCTTACAATTCTGCCAGCGTAAGGGGGAACCAGATCTAAGAATATGAGTTAGTAGGACTGGGGTTAAGAACCAGTGGTTGATATCTGCTGGGTGGGCTTTCCACAGGGTGGGTGCAACTACTGAAAATACCTTCTGTCTGGTTCCCTGTAGTTTCACTTCTCACAGTGAGGGAACCACCAGAACAGGCACTCCCAACCTTCAGCCCTCCAGATGTTTTGGACAGAATACCCATCATCCCTGACCACTGTTAGCTAGGGATCATGGGAGTTGTAGGCCAAAACACCCTAGGTTGGGGATGCCTGCACCAGATGGTCCTTGGAGCTGGACCTCAAGGGGGTGGAGATGGTCCTTCAGGTATACTGGGCAGAAGCCATGTAGGGATTTAAAATTCAACACCAACAATTTGAATTGTGCTTGGAAATGTACTGGGAGCCCATGTAAATCTTTTAGCTCTGGTGTTATGTGGTCCTGGCAACTGCTCCCAGTCATCAGTCTAGCAGCCACATTCTGGATTAATTAAGTCATCTTCAAAGATAGCCCTATGCAGAGTGTGCTGCAGTAGTCCAAGTAGGAATACAGTCCTAGTAGGGAATATATCACAGTAGGGAATATATCATTCTTCTAGTTGCATAACATATAGACAAATGAATTTTGATGATGCAATATATTTAAGACGCGCAGAATGCAGTACAATCCGTATAATACATATCCTTATTTGATTGAGCAGTCATATTTTTCCTGAACATTTATATCCTTCTTAAATATGATAAGTGAGGAGTTGCCATATTGCTCAAAATCACCATTACATTCAGATACTGTGGCTTTATTATCAAAATATGGGATATTCATGTAGTCTATTGTTCGACTCTATTCAGAGAAACCATTTTGCCATTGTGCCTAGCTCACTGAACACTGACTGGTGACCCATGGAGAGACCATAATCTTAATGCCAGTGAAGGTGAAAGAAGCAGTTCTGAGGGACAACATTTTCATTAGAAAAAATGGCATATGGGGAAGAAGCCTCTTCTTCATGCCATGACATTGTCTGAAATGGAGCCCCACCTCACTGCTGCCATTTTTCCTTAAGAAATTCAAACACATTTCCTGTATTGTCTGGATTGACCTATATTCTATGCCTGGCAAGAAAGGCAAAATATACTGTTTTCTATTAGCATTGCTAAAAAGCAGAGTTTAGTTTCACTCAGGGACTATTGCTTCCTTCCCCGCAATCCCAGTTCATTGTATTTTTCTCAGCCTTTATTATAATAACCAAAGTGATACTACCCTTATAATGGGTTGTCTTTGTTGAATGTTAAATCAAACACTTTTTTTCAATTTGGTACTTCTTTTCATAGTTTATTGGTTGTAATTTGGTGCTAGAATATACATGCCCAAACTAAAAAATGCTTAAATCACAAGGACGTGAGTAAGTTATTAAAGCTGAGATAACGCCTTTAAAGCTATGTTAAGTCTTAATGATCAAAGTTTTATAATATAGTATGAAAACTTAATGCTTGCTTTGCTGCCTGTGTTAGAAACCCAAGAGGATCAGAACTAAATGAAGTTCAGGACATAAAAGGTTTTGCAACCAAACAAACAAACAAATAAACAAACAAACAAACAAACTTCTTTATAAATAAGTGAATGTTCCATTTCACCCACTATTAGGCCACTTTTGTAATCAAGAATCCCCTTTGGACTAAAACAATAGCATTATCTGAGTCACATCTCATCTCCCCATGGCTTACCTGAAAAATAATTATGGCAAACTGCACTGGAGTATAGAACCCTGTAAAAAAAAAAAAGTTGACAACATTCAAAGAGATAATCCCCATGATACTTCATGGTTGAACAAGATACTGCTCCCATTTCTGAACGAAAGCCATGGTTGAGGGAATTTTCCACTCATTTGACTTCTATATCGCAGGCCAATCCCTTTGACTTTCTTCTTCATCCTTAATGCCTCTAAAACTGCTAAAGAGACAGACTGTGGACTTAGGATTTCTGTGGCATTATGGATTTTATGGCATTTCTTTTATGGTGCCTTTTTAAAATACTTTGCAAGTATAGGTCAGAATCTAAGTAAGAAATTTAACAATTTATTAACTCTTCGCATGTAAACCGTACTCACATCCAGGACTGCTTTTGTATTATTTTATGGCTCTTACTACTAACACGCTGTGTTTTGGAATAGAGCAGCACAGTTCAATTTATCACAGACTCGGTGGTGAATATATTTTTTAAACTAGAAACATGATGAGTTTTTGGTTGAATTGCTCTATCCTTAAGCTCTCCTTCGGCTTTTCCCTTCTGCTTTTGTCAGCGATTGCTGGTACACAAAACAATTATATACCCAATAATTCTATATTAGTGTATGTCTGTGTGCGAATCGTGTTATAATCATTTTGAGGTATCTAATAAAATGCTTAAAAATGCTTAAAAATGTAGAAATCCCATTCTCGTTTCTAGTCCTGGAAATCTTTTTCTTTCTCTTTTGGTGTTTGTTACTCAGTTATATCTTGTTTTGTTTTGTTTTAGCTTCTATACAAAATGATGACAATGATAGTAATAATAATAGCCTACTGCCCCCCCATAAAAATAATAATTTAACAATATATTAAAGTGTTGTGGCTTAGATTCAAACATGGTAGAAACTTTACAAAGGAACAGCATGCAAGTTTGAGCTCTGGAAGCTGTAATGCAGGGAAGCCTTTTGGTTTAATTCATAGCTCTTTTCACAGAACCATGTTTTTGTGACAGTATATAAATTAATACATCCACTAGTTCCTTGCATTATCTGAAAACAATACATGACTTGGTGGGAAAATTTAGAAGCCTGTTGATAGGCGTATAACACATCAGAAATTGGAATGTACTTGGAATCCCTTGGAATTTGCTACTTTGTTAATCAGAATAATAATAATAATAATAATAATAATAATAATAATAATAATAATAATAAAATTTATTTGTATCCCGCCCATCTGGCTGGGTTTCCCCAACCACTCTGGGTGGCTTCCAATAAAGATTAAAAATACATTAAAATGTCACACATTAAAAACTTCCCTAAACAGGGCTGCCTTCAGATGTCTTCTAAATGCCAGATAGTTGTTTATCTCTTGGACATCTGATGGGAGGGCGTTCCACAGGGTGGGCGCCACTACCGAGAAGGCCCTCTGCCTGATTCCCTGTAGCTTTGCTTCTCACAGTGAGGGAACCACCAGAAGGCCCTTGGCACTGGACCTCAGTGTCCGGGCTGAACGATGGGGGTGGAGACTCCTTCAGGTATACTGAGCCGAGGCCATTTAGGGCTTTAAAGGTCAACACCAACACTTTGAATTGTGGGTATCATCCGCATATTGATGGACACCCAGCTCAAACCCCCTGATGATCTCTCCAAGCGGCTTCATGTAGATGTTAAAAAGCATGGGGGAGAGGGCCCAGGGGTCTGAACACTCATCCCCGACCACCACTTTCTGGACATGGCCCAGGAGGAAGGAGCAGAACCACTGTATAACAGTGCCCCCAGCTCCCAGCTGCTCTAGACGGTCCAGATGGATGTTATGGTTGATGGTATCAAAAGGCACTGAGCGATCCAGCAGAACTAGGAAACAGCTCTCACCTTTGTCCCTAGCCTGCCGGAGATCATCAACCAGCGCGTCCAAGGCAGTTTCAGTCTCATGATGAGGCCTGAATCCCGATTGGAAGGGATCCAAATGGTCCGCATCCTTCAGGCGTGCCTGGAGTTGTTCAGAAACCACCCGCTCAATCACCTTGCCCAAGAATCGAAGATTTGAGACTGGGCGATAGTTGGCCATATTGGCCGGGTCTAAAGATGTTTTTTTTAAAAAAATGCGGTTCAATGACCGCCTCTTTCAGCGGGTCTGAGAAGGCTCCCTCACAGAGGGAAGCATTCACCACCCCACAGAGCCCATCTCCCAGCCCTTCCCGGCTTGCTTTTATTAGGCAGAATGGACAAGGATCAAGGAGAAAGGTGGTTAGTTTCATGCGTCCAAGCAGCCTGTCCACATCCTCGGGAGTAATGGATTGAAATTGATTCCGTGCAACTCGACCAGACAGGGCTCTAGCACTCTCCCGCCCTGTTCCTCCTCCCACGATGGTGTCTGCCTCCTTCCGAATATGAACGACTTTATCTGCAAAAAACTTTGCAAACTAGTTGCAGGAGATCTTGGGGTCTGTACAAGGCCCCGATGGTAAAGGTGGTTCTGTTAAACTGCAAACCACCTGAAAGAGTCTCCTGCTACTATTTTCTGCAGATGCAATAGAAGCGGTGAAGAAAGTCTTTTTTGCCATCTCTATCGCCACTTTGTAGGCTCGACGTTGAGCTCTAACCCGTGTCCAGTCTGATTCAGAATGAGTTTTCTGCCACTGTTTCCTCGCCCTCACCTCCGAAGAAAACCACGGGGATGTCCGGGCTCCATGCAATCGGAGAGGGCGCTTCGGAGCCAGACAGTCGATAGCCCTGGTTAACTCCGCCTTCCAGCGAGCCACTAGGGAATCAGCTGAAAGGCCATCAACATGGGATAAAGCACCCCCTACCACTCTCTGGAAACCATTTGGATCCATTAAGTGGTGGGGGCGAACTATCTGAATTGGTCCCACCTCCCTGCAGAGGGGAAAGGTCATGGAGAAGTCCTGTTGCACCAGGAAGTGATCTGACCATGGCACTTCTTTGTTTCACTTTTACTTAGTGTCAGATCACCCACATCATTAGAGGTGAACAACAGGTCTAAGGCATGTCTGTGACTATGAGTTGGGCCAAACTTATTCAGGGACAGCCCCATAGAGGCCATGCTTTCCACGAAGTCCCGAGCGGCCCCTTGTAAGGTCGTGTGAGCGTGGATGTTAAAATCCCCTAGGACAACCAAACTAGGTGTCTCCAGGAGAACATCCGCCATGACCTGAAGCAGCTCGGGCAGGGAATCCTTGGTGCAGCAGGGAGGTCAGTACACCAAAAGGAATCCTGTACCGCCCCTATTGTCCAACTTCCAGAACATGCACTCAGAGAACTGGGTCTTCCCAGTAGGACGCCTGATGCAAGCTAGTGACTTCCTAAAAATCACTGCAACCCCCCTCCCCTTCCACAAGACCTGGGTTGCTGTGCGTAAGAGAAACCTGGTGGACAAGCAGCAGCTAAGACAGGTCCATCTGCTTCATCCAACCAAGTCTCTGTTACACATGCCAGGTCTAATGCTCCATCCACGATCAAGTCATGGATGGCAGTGGTTTTATTCATCATTGACCTGGCACTGCACAGCAATACCTTCAGGTCATGTGGGTTTCCCTTGTTGATTCCAGTATCCATCCAGTCAAGACCAGACCCGTAGGCAGGGATAGTCTTCAAACAATGACTAAGCCTGCCTCCTCAGTAATGACATGGTCTGGTCTTAGCATAACTCCTCCTCCTGCCCATGATCACTGAGATCGGATGTCCCAGTGCATCCCCCCCTGTGGATCTTGTCCCAGCCATTCTGTTGGCTGGAGCCCACTCCCAGGCAGCCCTGATCCCGCCCCTTAAAAACAAAATGCAAACTATACAATAACCAATAAAATAACAAAAAACAAAAACAGAACAGTTATACTAAAATTAATCACCAACCAGATATCCATCCCACCCTCCCACCCCCCAACAAATCAAAAAGGGGGGAGGAGAAGGAAAAGCTTAAAATGCCACCAACTGCTTAAGGACATTTTAAAACACATTAGACACTTGAAACAGGGAAGCAATAGCAGAACAACCCCGTACTTCCCCAATAGTTTGTTCCAAATGAGTCCAGCCCCATTCTCTAGGCACTGCCACAGGAGTCCTTTCGTAGCTGGGAATGTTAGGACCTGGACCCCGCCCCCTGGGCCAGTTGGAAAAGGCCTTGGAAGGGAGCAGGCCCTGCAGTCCTCACCACAGACGATACAGAGGAGCCCCAGCACAACAATTCTATTCATAGACCAGAACTGAAATGAGAGCCACTTGCTGGATCACAGCCTGCTACATCAGATCAAAGGTCCTGCTACAGGTCTGCCAACTCAGGAAAGCAATTGAGGGGGCTAAGGTTGTGTGTGATGTCACAGCATTACATCCAGGCATTGTGCATGATGTCACATCGTGTGTGACACCTGGATGTCGGACGCGATGCCCAGACGCGCTGTTGCACACAATGTCTGGGTGTTCCGTGGCAGTTCAGCTTCCATGGCTGGCAGTTCCTCTGCCTCCTGCTGCTGCCATGAGCCAGGGGCTGCTTCCTCTCCACAGCAGGAGAAGGCGGAGGAGAACAAGCCACAGTGTTGCTGGCTTGCGCATCCAGGTATCCTGTGTGACAGTGCTGCATCTAGGCATCACACACAACATTGTGACATCACACATGGCATCGTGACATCACGCATGATGTCCAGACAAACATCAAGGTTGATAGCCTCCCCACTAACAAATATTGGGGGCCCCAAGGGGTTTCAGCTCCTAGGAGTGGCCGCTCCTATCCTGCTTCCCATGAAAGTCAACCAGATGCTCATGAGACAACAGTCTTCTCTTGTTGCTCCTCCATACCTGGTTCTGAGAAGGTTGCTGCCCTTGAAACCTAGAGCTTGAATGTAACCAATGTGAGTAGTACACTGACATATTCTTCATGACTCAGTTGACAAGCCACATAAGCTGGAACCTCTGAGTATAACAGATATACAATTACAGAAATCTATACTCAATAGCAAAGACAAGCTGACAGAGTGAGGTTTTTCTTAAACAACAACTTAACTAATCTACATATGTTACATCTTTGTATTTTTCATAGCACAGACTATTATCTAAAGTCAGATTTTCAAGGACAAAGAAGCTGTCAGAAAATGAGGTGCTATTTATTTATTATTATTTTTATAAGATACCGAGGACTTATTTTTATTGTTCCTATAGACTACCAATCGTGCTGAGAAGCGCATTAACAGAAACAGCTTGTGTCTTCAAAAATAATGATGTTTTCCTTCATATTTTAAGTATTATATATGTTGCTTGGCATATGGGAATAATAATTTGTCAGAATATTTCAGTAAGAATGCGAAAAAGATAATGCTTTATGTTGCTGAGTCTTCTTTTAACGATCCTTTGCAGAAGCTTTGACAAAACCTTGGTATAAAATAATTATATCCAACTTGGACATGATTATAGACATTACATTTGGCATAAATTAGAATATAAACAGTTATGCCTGAGCACCCCAACTCAATTTAGTTTCATCATTCTGCTTTTTAAGAATGGCCAGCCAGATGCCTCCAGGACACCCTTAGCCTTCCCTTGCTTTGCCCTTTAGCTAACTGTATCAATTTCTGATTGTGGCAGTTTCATTTAGTTTTCATTGGCTAATAGCTGTTGGTTGGCTTTCTCCTCTGTTAAATTGTTTACCTCTTTTAAAAAGTGCTATTGATCATCAGCATGTCTTGCGGTTGTGATTTCCATATTTTAATTAAACATTGCATGAGAGAAAACTTTATTTTCATTGTCTTGAATCTACAGGCAATCAAATAATTTGGGTGGCTCTAAGGCTGCAATCCTAACAATGTTAGTACAGAAGTGGGTTTAGGATTGCAGCCCTAGTCAGCATTCTACAAACAGGTGCCCTGGAGTTGTTTTGGATTGAGTTCCAGTGGTCATGTGTGACGTTAACATAGGGGAGTGCTGGAGATGAAATAGTTAAACAGGTTACCCAATCAGAACCCAGGGGGTGGAGTCAGAGGGACTATAAAACCAGCTCTGGGAGGGGCGAAGGGAGGAGTTTGTTGGGAGGGAGTTGGGTGGGTGGTTGGAGTGGGAGTGAATTGGGATAGAGTCTGTGGGCAGGTTGAGTTAGTGTAGCGAAATAAGCTGAGTCAGGAACAGTTAGGGGCTAGGAAGACAAATACATATCTGAGAGGTGGTTTAGTGAGTGAGAGCAGGTAGCGGAAGTTATAAGTCTGGATAGGCACCCCATGAATGTAATGACCGATACCGTTTAGGAAACCACACGCTTGTTAAACTGCAATAAATAAATAGAAGTTTATGTTCCAATTTAACCCTGACTGGACTCAGTATTGTACCAGGTAGGGCCTGGGTGGTGGCAGTGAGAAATAAAGTGGTGGCACAGGGATCAATAGACGGTGAAACGTCCGGGGACCCTGTGTGATCGCCACATCACGGATCATGAAAACTGGAGTCCAAAAAACCTGGAGGGCACCAAGTTGCAGAAAGAAACCGTAAGTTCCAGTATTATAAATCAAAGGAAAATGTTGCACGATCTCTCTACATCATTCATAATTTTATAAACTTCTATCATGTGTCCCTTTCATCTTATCCCCCCCCAAAGCCTTCACTAAATCTTCAATTTAGGCCAAGTAAAACCTGTCTCTTTATTCCTGCAGTTTTCTAGTTTTTCACCACACCATCTCAGATATCTCTGTGGTCTTCATCTGAGGCCCTTCTCTGTGCACCAACATGAAGGAGAATGGGCCTTTTCAGTGGTGTCCTCCCATCTGTGGAATGCCGTCTTAGGGAGATGCAGGTGGCACCAACCTTATCAATCTTTTGATGCTACACTAAGACCTTTTTGTTTCGCAGGCCTTTGGTTACTTAATGTTGTATCCTATGGTGGTGCTTATCTTTTAGTAGGGAGTAGAACTTGTCCTGATTAATATATTGCTGGATGAGCTTTTTTTTGTATTTTTGATTGTTTGTTAATTGTTCTAATTTTTCTGGTTTAAAATTCCTTTTATGTGTTGTATTTTACCATTTTTATTGTATAAAGTGACTGATACATCATCATCAACAACAACATTAATTCCTGAAAACTCGTCAGTGCATTTCATTGATCTTTGCTGTATAGGGAAGTGGGAACATTCTTAATAAATAAGAATCTAGTTTGTGCCAGAATTTTTCGTACACTCAGCCACTGTTTTTGCTTCTTATCAGGTTGCACAAAAATTTGGTCATTCAGTGGCAGATATTTTTTGCTGATAGAAAGTAAATAGGATAGACTCAGCAATGATTGATTATAATTGTCTATACCAGTGGAAATGTAATACTGAATTTGTATAAATTTGTATAAATTGAATTTGTCAGATTACCACAGTATCCCTACCTCAAATCCTTTAGCCTTTCCTTGTTGGGAAAGTCTTCCAAGCTAATAATGAACTTTGGTATTAGAAGTCATGGTAAGCGCTTACAAATTAATCCAGTTGCCACAATAAGAGACACTAATTGCTGTAACATGCCACTAGGGACGGGGCAGAAATTGGATTCAGTTTGCATTTAAAGGTGACCATAGCTGATTCATGCTTTCCAAAACAATATACAAGCTATCCTTCAAGTTCTCATTCCCATGAATTTTGCACTGCAGTTCTCCTACCAAGTAATGGGTTAAAAAAATGCCTATACCCAGATAAAGTGTGCATAAACTTGCATACATATGTGCAATGAATTATATAAGTGAAAATTGCTTTGCAAAAAATGTATATATTAGGGGAAATTTACACTAAGATGGCGATGGGTTTTCGTGAAAACTTTTTCTGGGGAAGAGACAGTTACAAACTGAGGACTGGATTTAGGATTTGAAAAATGAGAAACTGAGGGAAATGAAAATTGACAATTCGCCTATCCCTAAATGACCCTGTGGGATTGTCATCATGAAATAGTGCGCCACAGTTGCACTATATTTTTCTAGGGTTATCATGAATTAAAAGGTAAAGGTACCCCTGCCCGTACAGGCCAGTCTTGACAGACTCTAGGGTTGTGCGCCCATCTCACTCAAGAGGCCGGGGGCCAGCGCTGTCCGGAGACACTTCTGGGTCACGTGGCCAGCGTGACATCGCTGCTCTGGCGAGCCAGAGCCACACACGGAAACGCCGTTTACCTTCCCGCTAGTAAGCGGTCCCTATTTATCTACTTGCACTCGAAGGTGCTTTCGAACTGCTAGGTTGGCAGGCGCTGGGACCGAGCAACGGGAGCGCACCCCGCCACGGGGATTCAAACCGCCGACCTTTCGATCGGCAAGCCCTAGGCGCTGAGGCTTTTACCCACAGCGCCACCCGCGTCCCTGCCATGAATTAGTTGTCTCTTTATAGCAGAGTGTGTCCTGTTGCTGACCAGATGTGTGTGGGTATGCACAGCAATCTCCACACTGTCACAAATCTCTAGAGAAGGAAGGAAGCAGTAATAGTGTGGAGGAAAATCCCACAGGAAATTCTGTGCTAAGTTCTTCTGCACACTAAAAACTTGCCACGTGGTAACCTCACACTGTTCCATGCTTTGTATAGAGACTCCTTTCTTATAGTATGGTTTCTTTTGTGGGTTGTCTAAATCTGTATAAAAAGATAGATATGCTGCAAGCGTGCTGAAATATATGTACCTCATCCGTGCGTATTTGGCAGATACTATGGAACTTGCACTTTTCCAAGTGATACACAATGTAAGTTCTGTGTTTGCGAGGAGTCAGTATATTTGTGTGGCAGCACCTGGGGTTCAGACTCCCTGAATAATGACATTAGACAGGTGCCCTCACTATATTTATGATTCCTGCTGAAAACTTTGTTTTTATTTCAGCCAGTCTGCCCACATATAGTTACCTATATTCTTGCAAAGATTTTACTGGTTTTATATGTGTTTTAATGATCATTATTTGTGTTTTAATGATCAGTATTTTATATATGTTGTTGTTTTTAATAGTTTTGTGGATTTTAGCTGTTTGATCTACAATTTTATTATGTACCCTGCTTAGATAGCTCTTTGATAAAGCAGTTTTTATAACTTCCTTTAAAAAAAAAATTTAGGAGAGAGTTATATAAAGGAGTGAAAAGGTATTGTGGAAGCCTCTTACTTCTTTGACAATGCATTTGCATTATTCTCTGTTTCAAAGACCAGTTTAATACTGGTATGTTCCCCCTGCATTCTTCCTGGAAGTCTACTGCAGGAAGTCTAGTAGAAATTTATGACATCTC